GGGGGGGGGGGGGGGGGGCTAAATTTGCATGTGGTAGAGCGACATACTTCCTGTTACGCCTTTAAAAACTGTATTTCAGATGTGATTTTCCTATACCGATCGCTGGCCCTACTAAGAGATGGATGATAAATAGCTAAATTTGCATGTGGTAGAGCGACATACTTCCTGTTACGCCTTTCAAAACTGTATTTCAGATGTGATTTTCCTATACCAGAAAGAAACTGATCATTTCTGTAAAAGAAGGAAAACTAACTAGATTACAAAGTCCATTTGTCCATTAATTTTTGTAAGTTCTTATTCTTAAGGCAAATATATTTTTCTATTTCATATTTAGCGTTTATTCTAACTATAAAACTGTTTATGGTTGGGAGTAGTTCATTCCTTCTGCAACTCCATAAATATATTTTTCTTATAAGTACAAGATAATTAAGCAAGGGGCATTCAGAAGATAAAAAGCCGATCCAAATTTCCTTTAATGTTAGGTGAACTAGTTGTTTTCGCAACCCAAAATAATATGATTCAATACATTTCCAGAATGAATTCGAATAAGGGCAGTCCCAAAAGAAATTTCTAATAGCCTCTGATTCCCTTTTGCAAAAAGAGCACAAGCTGTCTGTCCTGTCCCCAATCTTGAACAACTTTGAGTTGGTAAAAAGTATACAATTAAGTATTTTAAATTGAAAGGCTTTGACATAAGGTTCAAACGCGATAGAATGGGCAAGAGAAATGCCTTTCTGAGATCGTCATTAGGTAGATTAAAATCCAACTTCAGTTTTTGTGCATGATTTGGGAGACAAGCCTTCTTTTTGATCAAAAAAGGATAATAATCTTTTGATTTCTTTTTTGCTATGTCGAAAACACCGCCATTGATTTTAAAGGAAGGTATTGCATTAAAGGTACTCGAATCCGAGCGATTAAGAACTTTTAAGTTGGTTGGTATTGAATGGCTCATACTAGTCCATTCAAGGAAGTTTGTCTTTTTAACATGTTCTGCGATCTGTTCGTAGGATTCCGTATTGCTGAGATCAAAATGTAAGTCTCCTATTTCCCAGATACCAATGTCGTAATATTTCTTGTAGAAAAAGGGCTTGTCGTCTATTCTAAAGTCTCGATTATTCCAAATTACATAATGCCAATCGTTATTAAGAGCATTTTCTTCTCGGAGTTCCGACCACCATTTAAGTAGTTCTAAATAAAAGGTAGAGGTAATTTGAAGATCCTTAATCTCCAGAATCTTTCAAGATGTATTCAAGGTAGTTTTTCCACGCGCCTGAATTGTCACTAAATATTCGTTTAAGCCAGGAAAGACGGAGAGATTTTATCAAACTTTCAATATC